CACCTCTCCCCCCTTCCCCCAACACAAACTCAGACACAAAAACAAGGACACACAATTCAAGACTGGGAGCCAATGGTTGGCACTGGTCTACTTCTTTTTTTCTTGTACAATATGCCTGTTTCTTTTTTTAAAAAAACACAAAACACTTTTATAGCTACTGTTTTCTTTCTTTTTGTAACCACAGACACTCCCACATAGCACCAGCTCAGTTCCAGCCAAACTGCGTGCATTTTTAAATAAAGAAAACAGGTCTGCTAGTTCTGTGTTAGCAAAGTCACCTCCTTTACTGCCAGTGCTAATGCTAAACATGTAATAATACTTTATTGTCATGAGCAGGAATCTGCTTTGCTAATTAAATGCAGCTGTCAGTAATTACTACTTGTCAGTGTAATCTATTTTAGGGAGCTCTACTTTAAATAATAAAAGATGGGCCTGATATTGAGAGGGTGGGATAGGCAAGGTGACCGCTTACTTCCCCATCCGAAGCTCATTCTTTTTTCTTTTTTTTTTAAATGATCAATGAGTGACTTCATTGTGAAGATGTCTTACCTGGGTTATTCTGTATTTCTTTAGTGCCTGAGTGCTCAAAGTTTGCAGTTAAATAGTTTGTAAAATATATCTGTAATCTAAATGTCACCCCCTTTTGTAATACCAACCAGGACGGTGACTCTCACAGTCAGTGCATCGTGATGGTAATCTGCAGGAAAAGCATCATGGTGAAGTCACTACAATCTCTACCATCAAATACTGAGTTCAGTCTAAATGCACCTTCTAATTGCTCACAAACTGGATTAGACACGGAACATCACTTTGACAAATGGGGAGGGGGTTAAGTAGCTGTTTCTTGTATGCATTTTTCACTGATATCCTACCAGGTTTTTTCTAAGAAAATGTTTAGCATTCAGTTTAGGTCTTTGAAATGTGTAAATTTAAAAAATCATGATGTTTGCTTCTAATATTAATTTATCTTAACGGACTCTGAAATGAACCTCAAACTCCTTAATAGCTCTACAGCTGCGTGACTAAAAGCAATGTCAGGGCAAGGGTAATGATGGCAGGCTGATCTGCTCCATGGGGTGGGATAGGTGCTGGGGTGCCACAGATGCTGGCAGAATCCAGGGTCTAAGGGGAGCAGACCTTTGCCCTCACCTCCCCTGACATTTAAAATGAAAGTGGTGGCAGTGGGGGGGGGGGGGGGGGCGGGCACTGGAGTCTCCAGGGGTGAAGTGCTGGGGTGGAGGAAGGATCAATGGGGAAAAAATAAGCACAGCAGGGAGGATGAGGGAGGCTTGGCACACACGTGGCTTTACCCCACACAGGCCAAAAAGACTTATCACACCGCTCACAGCATCCTGACTGCCTCATCCTTCTTCTCCCACCATCTGGTTTATATCCAACACTCCAATAGTCCTCGCGTTGCTAGATAATTAATTATCTTGTTATAGGCCCCAACAAGTTTGGCAGCTACTCTTCTGAATACAGCACATTTAAATAGAATTAATAATTTGGGTGTTCATCCCAGGTGAAGGGGAAAAAAAAAGCTTTCCAGGTGGAAAATAATTTTAAAAACACCTACCTAAATGTATTTTTCAAATATAGTCAGCAAAACACGCCAACACATTCCTTTTCCCAGTAAGCGTCCATTGGGGAAGGGATGCATAGTCCAGTGGGAATGGTATACATTCTCCCTTTTCCATGATATAAATTCTGATCTCCTTTACTGAGAAAATGGGGGTTATTCCAGATAGTTCTAAAAAATAAATAAATAAAAATTCCAAGTGATGAGCAACTCAGGCAAAGAAAGAACCCATTGAATAGCCACTGAGCTCCTTAAAAAGTAGGGTTTATTCAAAGGGAAAACCCAAGAATATACACATGGATAGTTGTGAAAGTTTTTTACTTTTATGGGTTCTAACAACCACAATGTCAGTGCATCCCTAAATCGCCCATTTTATGCAGAACTCAGGCTTTTCAATCAGCTGATCATTTTCCTGGAATATAGTAGGTGTTCAATGAATAACTGCTGAATGTATGAGTAATGATTTTGAACACTGTCATGATATGGTTTCTTGCTGCCCACTCCAGCTGGTTGAAGCTGGTATTACTTGGTGGCAAGAGTTTAACAGCAGGGCCAAAGGTATGGTTATTGTTTAAATACTATATTAAATGTATTAATGTTTTTAGAAATAGTGCACTATATTTTGTATATTGTTTTTAAGTAATAATATGTTTTCATTTTTGAAAATAATTTTTATTTTTTTGTATGTAGGGTCATTCACCAGGGAATGACAACACATATTTTAAAAATGCTGGCTTTTAAATATATTAATTAACAGGCCATTTCCATTTCTTTTGTACTAGATAAGATTTTTAATATGATTATCATATGTTATTAGCAATTGTGTGTGTGTGTGTGTGTGTGTGTGTGTGTGTGTGTAAGTTTATTGAGTTTTCCAATATGGTGATGGTGAAATAATTTCGTTTCATTTTCAAATCTTAAAAGAGAAAAACTGATTTTTATATCACTATAAGCAGATACTCATAATTGGTTAGATATGTTTCCTGCTTTATAGGGGAGAAGTCAACTTAAATAGGTAATATGATTATTAGATATATTTAAAATAATTTGAATAGAAGAAAAACTCAAAATGAGCACATGGACTTTTATGGAACTTTCTGACGCTTTCTTAGTCTTGTAGGTAGAAAAAAAAAACAACTACCTAGTTCTCTATAGACCATTATTAGAGAAATGGAGACTTGAATCTACTCTTAAAAATTAAAGTCTTCCTAGAGGGATGCTTACTATGGACACTTAGAAGACTGGAGAAGAGGGGAGATGGGGAATGAAGGGTGGGAAGCAAGTTCTCCCCGATCACTGGCAGAACTAGGTCTTCTCCCTCACGCTCTGTGCCCACACCAGCTTCTCTCCATCATCTAGTACGCTGAACACGACCTGTTCCTTTACCAGCTGGCTTTGCTCTCGAGCTTGTAAGTTTCTTGAGGGCAAGGACAAAGTCATTTATATCCTCAACACACTTCCTGGTACACAGCAGTTGCTCAATAGTGTTTACTGAAATAAATAAGTCAGCAAGAAAAAGGCAGATAAACATTAGCGAGGCAGAAGGGAGAATAAGATGATTATTTACTTCTCCAATAGAACTGTATTTAGTACTTCCTATATTCCAGACACTATGCTGGGCAATGAGGACATTGACAGTGGTGTGGGTCGCGGTTGGTGGGCTACAAAGGGAAGGGGTAAGAAAACAGAGAGAAGTGACGAGGAAGAGAAGTTAGACAAGCAGAGAGCACTTTCGGCAGAGGGCCAGCATGTGCAAAGGCATGGCAGTACGAAATAGCATGCTCTGTTCCTTGCTTGGCATCTACCAAATGCATGCACTTTGTGTTGGAGCGACAGGAGATGAGTCCCAGGCTGGGCCATTGGAACAATAATGGCTTTGAAGGTTGAGGTGGTTTGAACTTTACCTGGAAGGCAAAGGATGCCGCAGGTTATTAAGCAGGGACATTACATGAGGAGGTTGGCGTTTGGGAAGAGTTTCAGAAGCACTGACGACATTGGAGACCTGAAGCTAAGAAGGAGGCTAGTGCCATCGGGTGAGTTCTGACGACCTGAGCTTAAGCAGTAGCAGTGGGTTGGTGGGAAGGGAGGTGTTAGGAGGCAGGGTTTTCCTGTCTTGGTGACAGACTAGAGGAGCAGAAGGAGAAATACAAGATGACCCGCAGGTACCTGTGTCCCTACTATGATCCTTGTAACTACATATTCTTGGTTGCGCACTTTTCTTGGGTGTATGGACAGATGATCTTGCCAACACAGAAGCAAAATAGCATAAACTATTTGAAAAGAGGTAACATTAGAAAAGTAATAATGTATAAAAATTCTCAAGTCCTTGATCTTATGTTGGTAAGTACAGAGTTGAGAGTTTCTTATTAAAAGGATGCCAGTGTTTATGGAATTCAGAAACCCCTAAACTAAATGCTGTTAAGTAAAAATTGTCTAGTCAGTGGACCAAGTATGAGAAAAAGATAAATACCTGATTAAGAAAAAATAATTCCATCTGTAGAAAATCAGGCAATCATAATTATAGCTAATATTTATCATTTTATGATGTGCCAGGTACTGCTACCAGGACAATGGGAATAATGTTCTTGACTTTAAAGAGTCAGTTATCAGGATTAAGTGGTCACTGCACATCTAGTCAAACTTTGGGAACAGAGGACTAAAATAAATGTGAAATAAAAATACTGGAATGAAACTAAGTATTTCTACTAGCTAGCAATCCATGTGCTGGCCCACCATCTCCTCATACAACCTCATCTGTCCTGTTTTCTGCCTCCACCTCCTCCTGACCCGCCCCCCCCCCCCCCACCCCACAGAATCCCTCAGCTCTCGGCTGTCCAGACTGAGATGTCCACAGGAAGAAGCTCTGTGTCTGCCCCATGATACCACATGCCAAAGTACCAGGAAATAAAGGCGACAGGACAAACTAACATAGAGGAACATTCGTTTCTAAGCTTTCCAAGTCTGCAAAGTGAGGATAGCTGGGTGGTTACCAGAATTAAATGTTATCCCCCACAAAAAAAACAAAAAACTAAGAATAAAGTTAAATTTAACCTTTTAAATCAAGTTACTCAAGTTTAGTAACCAGAGTTAGGAAATAGATTGTTTCTTGAAGCCATGCATTCTATGTGGTATAAAAATATAAAAGAGCCCGGCTGGTGTGACTCAGTGGATTGAGCATTGTCCCATGTACCAAGAGGTCACCAAATTGATTCCTGGTCAGGGCACATGTCCAGCTTATGGACTCACTCCCCAGTAGGGGGAGTGCAGGAGGCAGCCAATCAGTGTTTCTCTCTCATCAATGCTCTCTCTCTCTCTCTCTCTAACCTGTATATGAGAAATTTTTGTGTATCCTAATACTTCAACCAACTCATTCATATTAGTTATATAGATAAATATAAATGTTTCAATGCTTTTAGCAAACCTTTTGTTCTTCCCCATTAGTCATATCTGTATAAGATGATATATCTTCCAAAGACTTGTGTGAGCATGTTCAGCTGGGCCCTGCAAGAAAAAACTGTGAAGTGGCTGTCGCAAAAGTCTCCTCTCAACTTCTGTGCTTGACACAGGCCTTTAAATCAAGTAACACTTGAATCAAGCTTAAGTCTGTAACATGTATTTCTTCTCTTCATATCTTTCCCTTAACAGTCAGAGAATCCACAGAACATATGCTTTATAATGGAGTACAACCAATTCTCATAGATAGAAGGTAGCTAGATCTTATTTATGGTGAGGCACATTAAGAATTACTGTGATTTTTTTCATTGACTTGAATTAGCTATGGCAAAGAGCATTAGAGTGGCATTTTCATATGTTCAAAAAAAGTTCCCCAAACTGTACTCAAATAGGAGATTGTTAATATTTATGACAGCACAGTTATGCTACTTAATTGGCAGTGTAAGGATTCTGTTATTTAGTGTTAATTATATCTTACGTGCCATTTTAAAATAAAACGTACAATTACAGACAGTTTTCCTTTTGCCGACTTCTAAACTTAAACATTTTAATCAGTTGATTATTTCATCATTTTTCTACCTCAGGTCCTTCACTCTCATGAAGATTATTATTATTCCACAGGGTTTCATAGATAGTAATGTCCTAAGACCCTCATGAAAAGGGAAAAATTCTATTCAATATTAAATCACAATCTTAAAACTATGCAATTATAAAGACATTTAAAGTTTCTTGACCTCTGGAGTAGCAACTTCTAGAATACTTCCCTTCAGGGCATGCAGTAAACATTAATTGGATGCCTGCTGTATGCCACGTGGGTCAGAGCAGAACCAGTCTCATTTCACACCTTCATATACAACTTTGCTGGTCCTTTTGACAAGTACCGTAGCGTAACATGTAACATTGACTTCTGTGCAAGAAGTTCACCTTATAAGGATATTATGGGAAGCATAAAACACCCAGTACCAGAACCTCTGAGCTATTAAAACTACTTAAATATGGCATCAGTTCTTAAGTTACCTAATTTAAAAGTAGCCGAATCTCAGAAAATTATCGAGTCCATTAAAAACTACATTAAGTTATAGCGCTGTTCTAGTACTGCTCTAGTTCAGGTTATGTTGGGCTTCGTGACGATCGCCTTCCTTAGGAATTCCCTAAGAATTCATTCTGAGTGCCCGGCTGGCATGGCTTAGTGTTTGAACTGGGAGGTTACGTGTTCGATTCCTGGTCAGGGAACATGCTCATGTTGCGGGCTCCATCCCCACTGTGGGGCATGCAGGAGGCAGCTGATCAGTGATTCTCTCTCATCATTGATGATGTTTCTATCTCCCTCTCCCTTCCTCTCAGAAATCAGTAAAAATGTTAAAAAAAAAAAAAAGGAATTCACTTTGAAAACCATCACAAGTCTCAGTTACTAGAATGCATTTGCTTTACTACTTAACTCGCTCCCCACTTGGACCCTTATTTAAGTAAACTTTAAAAGTACCTGTTGAAGAGCAGTGGCATAGCCTAGTGGGCTGTCTGGGCTCTCATGGCAGCTCTGTTGTTTATTAGCTGTGGAGGCGAGCCAGTTATTTAGGCTCACTTTCCTCTTCTAAACAGGGATAATAATAGTACCTACTTATTTCCTCTCGTGAAGGGGGGGGGGGGGGGCTAGCACGGTGGCTACCAGAATTAACTAGTTAATATTAGCAGAATTCTTTAGCCAGTATCAGGCACACATTAAAGGTTATCATACGGGTTTCTTAAATAAGTTGTTCAAAAAAGTTTAGTATAGTCTCAATTTTTAATATCAAACTAGTTGAGCATTTGTAAGTACTATTATTAGATGACACTGACTTCACAAATCACATAGGCCACAAAAGAGACTCTCTTCCTATTCGTCAAAGTTATCAGACAAATATAGATATAGATACATAAACATAAATAAATACATAAACATTATCTTCTATATGTATAAGCATATATATATACATACACAACATATCTGACTCCCATGCAAAATCTAGGTACAGTGGTCTAAAGTCAAACCAACTAGTCAACCAATTCTTAATACTAACAGCTTTCTTTCATAGAAGTTTTCAAGAAGATAGAAAATAATCTATTGTACCACATATTAATTAAATGAGACAAGAATAATGGAACTTGCATATTAGATTCAGAGATGTTCATTTATCCTGCCTAAACATTATGTGGATCTTCAGGTATCTTTTGCTTCTACTTTTGTAAGTGTTAGCTGCTCTGAAATGTTTTTGAGTAGATTAGTGATGCTTATGTGTACTTAATATCGTCCTTTAATTGTACTTTTGCTGTAAAAGTTAAGGATAACATCATGACTCAGGAACAAACACTGATCTACAGTGAGCAAAATTTTTCAATAATTAAATTGGATTCTAGGAAAAAAAACTTTTGCTGGTTTTAAAAACTCATATTAAATTCACAGAAAAAAAGTAAAATGTAGGGTTTCTCTTAATAGTGATGATTTAGGTCATAATGAAAGTTTAACTAGTTATTTTGGTTTTGAGATCTCCCTTCAAAGACAGGACTTAGATGAAGATAAATCTGTGATTTGAATAATTATTCCCTTAACTTGAGTTATTCTCTTTTCAAACTTTTACCTTTTCTTAAAGCAAAACAAGCTATAATTCCATTACTAAACTATAACTCCTCATGCAATTGCAATAATGTCAGAATATGAAAATATCTGAAAAAAGTGTTTAAAAATTCAAAAACATACGCATATAAAGAGCAATAAAATATATAAATATTCATTTCATTTCAATCGCACAAATCTAGCATTACTGCTCGTACTCTATTCCCAGAGTTTTCAGCATCATTTTTTAGCAAGCATTCCTCTCTGCCAGCTCCCTTAACTAGGGAGTTACCTTGAAAGTTATTTCATTCATGAATAAAAGTCTCTAAAATGAAAGACCATCCAGCCAGACATATCAAAAGAGTCAAGGAATATTCTCCTCAACTAAAATTTCCATAAGATATTTCCATTTGTCTAGAAAATCCTAAATAACCATTTTTGTTAACTTGATGATTTACATAGTAGAACTGCACTTTTAAGGGATGTTACTGTTTCCAAGATTATAAAGAGATAAGAAAAGGAGCAAAATGTTTGTTGCTTCCTGTGAATTTGAGTTTGCTTTTTTAATGTAACAGGAATATTTGCATTTACTCATAAATGAATACTACTGACATATACAGATCGGGCACTGTTCCATAGAAGTCAGACACAGAGAGCTAGAGCAATGCACAGATAGTTATATTTCTCCAGAGTATTCAGACAAAGAGCAAGAAGATTAAAGTCAGTATCAGTTCTCTGAAGTTGAGTCATATCTAAATGATGTGGTGAGTTAAGAATATTGGTGGGATTTGTGGGGGAAAGAAAGTTGGCGGATTGACATCTGTATGATTTTTGAATCAAGGATTCTTTGTTGGCCACCTACTTTGGGCAAGAGGCTGTTTCCCTGAGTAAGCCACTGCTCTGCAGGCCTTTTTTTACACAGTGTAGGAGTAAGCATCTTGCTGCTACTGAAAATCCTTTCTTGTTTAAAATTACACCCAGCTCAGCTTTGCATATTGTGTGTGCTCATGTGTTCAATAAATACTTTTTGAATGAGGGGAAATTCAGTGAGTAAGAAGGTTATTCATTCAAAAACATCTGTGTGTGCCTGCAGAAGGGTAAGGACAGTGATGCAAGCATAATCAGCACGCTGTAGGCAGCACCTTCTCACAAAGATCTCAAAGGAAGCAACTTCCAACGCTGAAGTCTAAACAGGAGGTCTGGTTTAACCTGGCAACCACGATCCTAGAACTTCTGGGAAACTCCACTGAATACTATGCTTATAATTTCCCAGATAACCTACTTTGTGCATCTATTTGAATATATCATTTTACATGGTTAATGTGTCTATAGATTTTTATCAATGGAGAAAAGACTATTTAAAAACTGTGGAGAGTAATTTGAAAGGGGCCAGAGCAGTTTTCCTTTCTTCACTGTTAAAATTCCCTGCACTGGGAGGCAGTTAAATGCAAGCAACAGTTTCCTTCCCATCGTTATGTTGCTTGTAACATCCTTGTGTGTCTCCTTCAAGTCACTGGTGAGCGAGCCACTTCACATTCCTAAAGAAGCCTACCTTGCTGCTCACTCAGTCCCTGTAAGCAAGGACCATTTGTACACACATACAGGGAGGACGGTATGTAGGATTGTTTTCCTTTCTCCGTTTAAGAGCTTCACTAGGAAAAACCACCAGGATAACTTAAAAAAAATCTGCTACATCCCACATAATTGATACCAATGAAAAACATTTTAAAAATAGTTTTGCTATCCAAATTTGTAATCGCCTTATCTTCTCAACTTTTTTCTTGGCATGGGAGTTGAATATATTTGAAATAAACTGTAATGGGGAAACATTTGTCTAAAGCCCTGGAATATGTCAAGACTACTGAGCAAAAGCTCTCAGAAGCACCAGCTTTACATCACTTCCAGCAAGGCAGTTTAGAAAGGAGCAACCCTTCCAGAGAGGACGCCCACCCGCTCTCACTCCCACACCAGCCTGACCCCGCATGCTATTTATCCGACTAAGTTTACATACACCAGAGAAGAGTTACAGTGCAATTAAAGGCATCCACGAAGTAATATGATATGAAGCACTTTGCAAATATTAAACTTCCCCTGAAGGGATCACCGTTTTCCATGAAGAAGCTGGTGCTGCGGAGAGGGAGGGAAGTTGGGAGGAGGACCGACCTACCAGGCTAGGACCGGGAGAGAGCAGGGATCTCAGCAACTGCTCCTTTGGGTCGGTGCCGGAGAGCAGAGCCCCCAAGTTGAAACGACTGGAGTTCTGGCTGAGGGTAGCTCGCTGCGCGCCAGGAACGGCCAGGTAGAGGCATCCACAGGAGGCTGGGCGCTCCTTCCTCGCTCCCCCAAACCAAGGCTGTCGCCCAAGTTCCAGGAGCAGGACTCTGAGAGCGCCAGCCAAAGCCAAAGCGACCTCGTGCACCTCTGAGTAATAACAATGTGACCACCCCTCGATGGCATCCAACTCCGGAGTGTGTGTGTGTGTGTGTGTGTGTGTGTGTGTGTGTGTGTGTGATGGGTGGGACGGGTTGCGTGAACTAGGGGGCGGGGACTGGGGCTTGGAAGGGTGGAGGCCAGATGGGGAGAATACACCCCATCTTTCACGTTCACTGAGCCTCTGACCTCTGCCTCGGACCTCGCAGACACCCACCTCCCCCAAAGCCGCCTCGCATTGCAGGCGACAGCCCTCCAGCCACCCGGGGAAGTGGCCAAGCGCGAGCCCCCAAACTCTGGCGAGTGCCATGCAACGCGTGTCGCCTCTCAAAGAGCACAGAGCGCTGCACCCGCCTCTGGACGAGACACGAACTGACGGACACCGATGACTCTGAATTCACCCCAGGAGGCGCCCCGTCGTTTCCCATCCCGCACTAGTTTAACGCAGAGACCCGGCGAAGGTCTCAAAAGTCTTTCCAGGCAGTGCCCGGCAGTGCCGAGCCTCACCAAAGTACTTGGGCTGGCATCGCATGGGTGTCTCTCCTGGTAAATCCCTCCCGCCCCTCCCCGTCTTATTTCCCCCCAAATCTACCAGCTTTCAGCCCACCACCGTGTTAGAGCCCCTCCCTGGCGCGGAGCGGGCGGCTCGCAGGGCTTACCGTCGTCCCAGG